GAAAACAAGAGTAAATAGCCGATTTGCAAGTGAGAGGACATGCGAAGAGCACGCATCGAGATTTTTGGCGAACGCGCGGTCGACGGAACGGTGGAAGGGGATATCGGAGGGGAGGAGCACAGCATGCTTCGTTGCTTTGAGTGCTGCAACCTGAAGCGTAGCATTGTAGTCATTGAATGAGGCTGGAGACAGCTGTGAAGATGAGGATGGCTCCGCCATGAGACCCAGAATTGTCGTAACCTATGTATGTCGCGAAACGCCTGCCTAAAGCTGCGACCCAATCCAGGCGAGCAATGAGCATGGCGAAAAAGTTTCAAAAACGCCGGTGGGATAAAGATCACGTGGGTGAATGTGTTCCGCTGTCTCCGAACCAATCGGAATGCCCGCCAGTTCCGTCGACGCGCGATAAGCCCGGTTACCTGAGGAACCGGTGAGCGATCAGGACACTGGACAGCAAGTCTCGAGTTGCTCATCGCACACTTGCAGCCATCCTCGAAATATGCTGCATTCCTTCCCTTTTGCTTCCAACTTATTCTCTCACTGATAACGTTCGCCCCATGCCCATGCCACGTACTAGGTCCCCTCTGATTACGCCGCCCTCCGAGCCTCCCCCTGTGCTCAATCCACCCTGGGCAGACGATGAGGACGACGACGACTATCCGCCACGTATTCACAAGCGATGGTATCACTATCTACCCCTTGTCTGTACGTTTTATTCGTTGTGTGTGTAACAATTACCTGTCGTTGACTGTGCGACCAGTGGCTGTTATACTCATGCTGGCACCACATCCGTCTCTGCTGATTGTTCTCGTCAACTACCATCTGCTAGTACTGCATTCGCCGACTCAGTTCCTGATCCACCTAACCATCACTTACACTCTGACATTCCTCTCATTTTCATCGCTGATTGTCGTTGTTGCGCGTGATCCCGGCCCTGTCACAAGAGACAAGGAGTCCGAATTCGGGCTAGATGCGCGCGGCTCAGAAGACATAAATTTCATGCAGGCACTGCTCGCAACCGACGACGAAGAAGAGGTTGATCGCTCCCCTGGTAAATGGTGTCGCAAGTGTTCTGCCCCGAAGCCGGAGAGAGCGCACCATTGTAGCACATGTGGGCGGTGTGTGCTCAAAATGGGTGAGTACGGATCAGATATCAGGGTCAAGTAAATTCACACAGTTTTTATAGACCATCATTGTTTCTGGCTCGGAGACAAGTGCATTGTGCGTTCTCTTACTGCTTTTGATAATGACAAGGGTGAACAGTACGATAGGGCCATAGAACTTACTCGGCTTTTCTGCACCTGTTGACTTGCGTCACCTTCCTCGCGGTTTATGTCGCTGTCATGTGCGTTCAGGCGGTCTACTTTGCATTCACGAATCCTCTTTCTATAGTACGTACTTCCTTGTCGGTGTAGCGTATCGTTCGCTTATCGGTGTTTAGGACGAGAATACCCCACTTCACGACATATACCTCGCCTTCTATGGCATCATAATGGCCCTCGTTTTTGGATCATTCTGGTTGTATCATCTATATCTGATCACGTATGTTTTCTCTGGCCTACCAATTCTTCTAATGTAGTGGCTAAACACATTATGTAGATCGAATCAAACAACGCTAGAGCAGCTTTCGCCTTTTCTGTTGCTCCGCCATCTTCCACCTATCCCGACACAGTCTGAAAGTAGTCGAATGCTGTCCAATCCGCCTCTCGAGCATGAGCTGTCTTACCGTCAGCGGCGCCTTGTGCGAGAAGCGCACCATCGCATTCGTATGTACGATGTCGGATGGAGGGGAAATTGGGGACAGGTCATGGGATGGAACCGACCATGGGGATGGCTTCAGCGATTAGCCACCGGGGGTGGAGGGTGAGTGGTGCAAATTCGTTCGGGTTGCTCAGCTATTCACACATCCGTCGAACGTTCCATTTGTCTGGATAGGAAAGGCGACGGTAGGACTTTCCCCCGTAATCCGCGCGCGGATGATCTGTTGGCACGACTTGCCGTAGAGCTTGTCGACGTAGACAAAGACCAATAGCGAATGTACTCGCTTGTCTCGATTACTCGGACAGTGCCTGATCGATTATTACAGCGCCCAGTCTTATAGTAGCGTCAAGATATGATCCTGCGCGGGACCGTCGGACATGAACTCACTCTTCTTGACTCGGACAACGCTGATGTTCCCGCTTGTTCATAATGCTCGCTTTGTCATCTCACTACGTAGGCTCTGTTGTCTCAACACTAGAGAGTGTCTCCCCGACTGTTGCTGACACTATCCGATGAGTTGCGTATCGACGCTGACGCGCTGACGGGCGACCTCCGTTCTGTTCGTAGGAAAGACGCTATCTATTGTCGCGTATCAGAACACGAGCAAGTTACATCTTTGACTCGGCCGGCACTAGAGCGCGCTATGGCTATCATTGAATAAAGGTCAGTGTCGCTGAGTGCTCTTCACGACCTGGATCTAGAGTGTTGATTAGTATTATTAGTGCCTGAATGCGAGAACACTAACACCCGTGCGATGTCCGCACGTTCGTGGGCAGGCCTCTTACGCAAACATCGCATCTACTAGTTGAGTATCCGACCAATCAAACTATTTACCAAATTGTTGGATGCGTAGCCGTCAGTGGTGAGTGGTCACGATTATGCTTGGCCAAGACTCGAGGGCCACGAATGTCGGATACTGACATGTGCAACTGCGGTTGAATGGCCGAACGGGCCAACGTGTTGATGTGTCCCCACAATATGGAGTGCTCCGCTCACGAGGCTTGTCTGGGTGCGCAATGCGGATGCAGGAAGGGAAGGGTGGACCACATCCTGCCGGCAAGCAGGGGTCTAGAAAGCGTCAGTGGTGGGCACGACTCTAGCGCAATGGAGCGGGACATGGTCACCCGTTTCTGCCTGGGGTCGTTTATGTCATAGTCTTCTTACGTAAGCAGCCGCCCTCGGTGTGCTGCTGCCAACGTTCGGGCGTCCTTATAATCCTCTGACTTGTAGCGACCATGCAGACGCCTACCTCCTTCCCCCCTTTGCGAATAAGGACTTTGCATCCTGTTAGACGACGATGGCCCCCGCTTCCGCAGCCGTCAATATTGTGAATGTTCGCGCGAGGCGCCTCGCCCTTGACGGCGAGGATGGCATCCGCCAGCAGATTGTCGCCGGCCTATCCAGGCCCGTCGGCGAGAAAACCCTTCCAACCATGCTATTGTATGACGAGCGAGGCCTCAGGCTGTACGACGATATTACCACTCAAGCTCCTGAATACTATCTCTTTCCGGCAGAGGAAGAGATCTTCACCAACTATGCCGATGAGATTGTTCGCGTCATGCACGCTTCGGATGGCGGTCAACTCAAGAATGACGAGGCCGTTGTCGAGCTCGGAGCCGGGTGAGCATCCATGTCTTCTTTGATTCTTGTCAGACCCCAACGTCACGGATACCGGTGATCATGACATCTCGTGGATCTCGTCTTATCTGGATTCGCAGATTTTGTCTGTATCTCCCCCACACAGTGCCTGGATCACGTGTAGACGAGTCTCCCTTCCATCTGTATGTGATGTTTGCGGGTCCAAGCTAATTACTATCACAGAGCTCTTAGAAAGACCTCGCGAGTCTTGGTTGCTCTTTCGCAAATAGTGCACCCCGACAACACCAACTCGCCGATTTCTTACTATGCCCTCGATCTCCAGGAGCGTGAGCTTCAGCGAAGTCTGGCGGAGTTGAATGATTCCGAGGTCGGGGCCAAGATTCAGGGCAAGGTGTCGCTGCAAGGTCTATGCGGCACATATGAAGACGGCCTGACATATATTCAAGATGGTGGTGTGTACAGTCTAGTGAACGCCAGCCGTAATCCAGACGGCTTCTCTCAGCGGCTGAGTCATGTACAACATGGCAGAGACGCGTCTCCGAGTTCCACATCCGACTCTACTTCTGAGAGCGGCAGTGTCGGTGTAGACGAGACACCCCCTTCCACTCCTGGTATTTATACACCACTCCACATCATGTTCCTAGGGTCATCCCTTGGCAACTTCTCGCGCGGAGATGACGCTGCGTTTTTGCGATCCCTCCCTCTGCGTGCTGGATCAGGCGACACCCTTTTGCTGGGTATAGATCACGACAACGATCCAGTCGATATTGAGTCAGCGTACAATGATACCAAAGGCATTACCGAGGCATTTATCATGAACGGATTGCGATGTGCCGGCAGGGCGCTCGGAGATGAGGCAATGTTCCCCGAAGATAAGTGGGAGTATGTCGGAGTTTATAACAAGGACCAACGTACGTGCTTATGTCGGCATTTCACTTGTTTTTTCTAATAGATATTCTAGGACGTCACGAGGCATACTACAAATCACGTATTGATCATAGCGTCATTGATCCATCGACGAAGGCCAGTTATTCGTTCAAGAAGGATGAGCTTGTACGAATTGAAGTGTCTTACAAGGTATGCTCAGGATGGTTTGGCGTAATATTGCAACTCAAACTTGGGGTGATTCAGTTTTCAGAACGGGACGCATATACCCTGTTCACAGATGCTGACTTGCGCCCCATCCAGCGATGGACCGACAGCGCATCCAAGTATTCTGTATGGCTTCTTGAGCGTCCCGTGTTCTCTGTGCCCCTTCTATGCCCCCCTTTGAAGACAGAAATCAGCGAAGCGGTGGTCCACAAGTCAACGGCAACGCCCTTCGGTATGCCTACAATTGAAGAATGGCAGACGATGTGGACTGCATGGGATTTCATTACCCAGCGTATGATACCCTCGTCTATGCTTTTCCAGAAACCGATTGATTTGCGACATATTTGTCTGTTTTACCTTGGGCATATTCCGACATTTCTGTCGATCCACCTATCGAGGCTTCTGGAAGTGCCCGATATCGAGCCGGTCGCATTCAAGGTGAATTATTATGCCGTTTGCTGTTTTAAGAATGAAATTTATCTTGATTACAGTATATCTTTGAAGTAAGATTATGACAGAGTGCACTCTGCGCTTCGTTCGTTTTTCGACGCTAGAGCTAATCACTTACCGTAGCGAGGTATTGACCCGAATGTCGATGACCCGACACAGTGTCATGTACGTTTTCGGGATTGCTATGTTTAGAATTACAGATTGACCAACCTATGTTCTTGCATAGTCACATTCTGAGGTCCCACAACAGGATGAGGACTGGCCTTCTGTCTCGAGCATACTCGCGTACCAGTACACTGTGCGCGAGAGGATTTTCCAGCTGTACCGTGACATTGCCTCGGGGGAGGTGGTGCTGACAAGGAAAATAGCTCGGGTTCTGTTCATGACCCTTGAGCACGAGGCATTCCACGCTGAGGTAAGCCCAAGATTACCAGAAATCTCGGCAGTTTGGTGAGGCGATGTTCTTCAGACACTCTTGTATATGCTCTTGCAGCGGGCTGGTACTGGCACCATTCCTCCATCGGGCTTCAGTGCGCCTGTGTGGACAGTACTCGCAGAGTCTTGGGAACGTGCACCACGTCCCGAGGATTCAACTGTCACCCTTGGGCCGACTACAATCAAGCTGGGCCATAATGATGCTGAGGCAGATGATGCTTCTACTGATGTTGCGGGCCATAATTTCGGATGGGATAACGAGAATCCTGAACGAGAGGTGCATGTAAATGAAGTTAGGATCGAATGGCGTCCAGTTACAAACGGAGAGTTTTACGAGTACTACAACGATAAAGGGAAGGGCGTTGTCAAATTCCCTGCCAGTTGGGTGGAGATTGATGGCGCAGTTTGTGTGAGTGTTCATCTTTTCCTTGGGTAATTTTATCGGCATCAACTTCTTCCTGTGTAGGTTCGGACCATGTACGGCCCCATTCCGTTAAAGATAGCTCAACACTGGCCGATCATGACTTCCTATGATAACCTATCCTCATATGCCAGTGTCAAGGGCGGCCGGATTCCAACCGAGCCAGAGCTTCGCCTCTTCTTCGATATGTTTGAGTGTGGATACGAGGGAGGAGCCAACGTCGGTTTTCGCAACTGGCACCCTGTTCCGTGAGTCATGCAGCACTATTGTTTGAACTGAATGCATACTTATGATTCTCGGGATATGTAGGGCGACAACAGGCGTTGGGAAAGGTAATCGAAGGGGACACAACGGAGGAGTTTGGGAGTGGACATCGACTGCCTTGGAGCAACATGATGGATTTGTACCATCCCGTCTCTACCCTGGGTGTGTTTATTTGCGTCTTATTGTTTTTGCGAAAAGCTAAGCTCTGTCGCGACAGGTATTCCGTTGATTTCTTTGACGGCCATCATCAAGTTGTGGTGCGTGCCTATTGATTCAATGAAGATATCCTCGCTGATTTGTTGCGCCGCCTGTAGATTGGGGGTTCATACGCCACTATTCCCCGCCTTGCCGAACGTCGAAGCCTGAGGAATTTTTACCAGCATAACTATCCCTATGCTTGGGTGGGTGCCCGCATTGCTTACGATTCGGTGCTGTAGAGAAATGGCTTGTACATAATTATGCTGTGAAATATGCATTTCTAACTTGTTTTAAGTACGTTAGCTATGAATATGTATCTTCATTTCCTGCTCCAGGTCCGCTCCATGTCGTGTTCAATGCTCTGTCAGAGATTGCTGAGATGTTAGGTCCAGCTTGTAAATAATGTTTAATTTCGTCAGGCATACAGGCCAAGGTCTCACTTCCCTTCCCGTGGAGTTTACGGGTAAATTCCATGAGCGGTGCATAAGATTCGTCAGCGAAATAAAGTACAATTTCAGTGGGCATCAAATGTTTGGAGCCAGTCATTGTGACACTGCGAGTATTCCGTAGCTGTCGATGCGGCTCTAGGGTTTATCAGTGATCAGATCCAAACGTAGAACTTAAACGTAGTAGATCTTGAGACGTGCAACAAGTCGAGAGTAGAGCAAACAGGTAAATTCGCTAGTCGGTGAAAAGGAGGAGAGACCTGGAGGCGGCGCAGCTGGTATCTGCTGGTACACGTGACGCGCCGCCGAGTTTGAGAAGGCTAGGGAAGTTGACGGAGCGCTGCCTCGACTCGGGAGATTTGCAACATCGAATTTGATCATTTGCGCTGTTCTGTGATCTGAGGTGATAATCAACATTCAAGACTTCCTAAGTATCGCCAACATGTAATGCCGCTGCAGCCTGCAGGTTCCCACTTGTTGATGTCAATTACTGCATGTTTGACAATACCGACAATGGTGACACTTTGAAAGTCTTCTAGCGGCAACTGGCCACCAAAGGTTTCCGCAGTGCATCGTCGGCCAGTCATCTTCAAATGCATGAGCCTCCGAGTCGCCTGTACCCGCAAACATCAATTCTACCACAAGAAAACGGATAATTGATTACTAGGAGCGTAACAATGTTGTCGACATAAGCAGATTGTAACGAACGTATAGTAGGGAATCAACCCAAAACACGACAAGTTGTCATGTGCAGAGGCTATAAAATAGCCCTAAAAAGCGAGCTATAAACCCATATACCTTCCTAAACGTGGGAATGTCATTCCGTCCCCGTCTCCTTCTGGAGCCACTGCCAGAGCTTCTGGCCCAGGTCGTCGTCGTACGCCTCCGCCCGGCACTTCGCCTCTCTCGCTGTCGGAACAAAGTACTAGCGAAACCATAAGTCCCCGCATTGCGCTTATCAAATTATGCCATACGCACTTTTCCGTTGAAATTGAGCGCCTCAGGCGTCGTGCCTGCCCAGAGCTGTGTGAGCGCGCCGAACGACGCAGGGCGGAGCCACGATTGCTACAAGGGCGCAAGCTCAGTTGGAACGTCTGGCCAACGGAAGGAAGGTGCGCACTGTATTCTTGGAGAACCATCCCATGATACCGCCGGCTGCCGCCGAGTGTCGTTGTAACTCGGTGCGGATCGCACCTATTGGGGCGGGGTAAGAGCTGAACGCGAAAACAAAAAGAAAGAAAGAAAGAAGTGTACCTGGGTCGACGGAGATGGACAGGATGTTCTCATCTGCAAAGCGCTTGGCGAGCTCGCGTGCGACGACAACATTCGCCTTCGTTACCGCCATCGCATTAGTCACGACAATTCGCACAACCAGGAGAAGAGAGCGAGTACTCACAAATTTGCTCTGCGCATAGAGCAGGTTGATCGACTTTTTCCGGCGAGCGGGGCCGTCCTTGAGTGTATCCCAATCGATGGGGCAGATCATTGCGCCGGAGGAGGATGTCGTGATTACGCGCGCATGGTGATCCACTGAAGACTGTGTGGCCGCGCGGAGAGCGGGAAGAAGGAGTTCCGTGAATAGGAAGTGGCCTTCGAACGGAGATGGCCAGGAAGTTGAAAAGCAATGAAGATGATAAATGAACACGCGTACCAACGACGTTCGTGCCGAACTGAAGGTCATATCCGTCCGCGCTCACCATGTCAATTGGAGGTACCATGACTCCGCTGGAGAAGATGCCGAAATGATTCAATAGCAGCTAATGAGGGGTAGATGTGGACACATACGCATTGTTGAACAGAACATGAAGCTCCGTCTCCTTACTATACTCAGGACGCATTAGCTACAAAACGCATATAGCAAGGTGTATGTCTACATACCGCAGGAACTCCTCTGCGGCCTTGCGGCATGACGCGAGGCTGCTGAGGTCGAGTTCAAGAAAGATGGCCTCCTTGCCAGTCTCGTTTTTGAGCTGAGAAATAGCCTCTACAGCTTTCTGCCTGCTACGCGAGGCCATGTAGACCTTCGCATTTCGCTGCAGGAGAGCCTGCAGTATCGTTCCATTCAAAATCAATATACGCAAATACAAGCACATTGGCAGCGGCACCACATACTTTGATTGTCTCATAACCGATTCCGACATTTCCACCTGGAGAATGATAGATCAGCCTTCTAAAGGAGAGAAAAAAATCCAGTGCTCCGACTAACCTGTGACAATAATCGTCCGCCCAGCCAAGTCAGGGATGCGGTCGGCGGTCCAGTCGGTGGTAGGGTTGGTGACGCGGTACATGATGACGCCATAATAATACATCTGCGAGCAGAAACCCATTTTAAAGTCTCGATGTTAACGAAGCAGACCAAGGCAATAAAGAGCTCGCAGCAGTGACTGGTCGACAAAGAATGGCGGTGGTCCAATTCGAGCGGTGGTACTTATACCGAAAGGAACATGTCTGATGGTTTTCTGCCGGGAACTAGCCAAATCTTGAAAATACCCGGAATTGTTAGTAAAGAGATGACGACGCCCACGGGGTGCGGCAAACGATTTACTGTCGATCTGAGAGCGCGCCGGTTGGACGCGTCAACTTCTCACATGCGTAGCCTACCGGGCTTTCAACACGCTCCGCATCCGCCTTTGCAGACCCTTTGGCTATACTTGTTTGCGCCGATAACACATGCGTTGCCCAGCAGAAGAAAATGTACCTAAGAGGTAGAATTTATTCAGACATCCGTTCAGACATTGAGTTACACAACATATGATTGCGTCAATTGAGGCGTATAGTAGTGTTAGAAATAAGCATCGTGAGTATTTCTTGTCGCTCAGTGATAGTTCAGACGAACAACGATACCTGACGCTGACTCAAGAGCAAGAACAGCAGCTTAATGGCCGCGTCACTAGCCGGCATAGAACTGCTAAGCGAGCCCCGAACTGGTCGGTGCGATTTTATGACCGCGACACGTGTGCTCGATCATCTCACCGATCGGTCCTCGCTGCTCTTGTTCCCATTTTCGGTACTTCCTCCTTGTCTGACTGTGCGCGGCGCTCACTGCTCAGTCATGTCGTCCTTGGGGCTCAGCCCTCAGCCCTCACTTCGACTTGGCCGCTATCTGGATCTCGCCATCCACACTAAGGTCTCATAGGCGACAAATATAGGTAATACGCTTTCTTAAAATTGGCCAGAAGCAAAAATCGAAAGGGTCTTCGCTAGTCGCAAAATCATCTATTCAGACTGAAGAACAGGAACGGTCTCTTGTGTGCAAAGTGGTCCATTGGATTCAGGTTTGTTTGCAAGATGCACTGGCGCCTCACGCAACCGCGCGTGCCATTTCACATCGGACATGCGCTCGCTGTACGGGGACATGTCAGAAACCCAGTGCTATGATCACGTAGCGAACCTGGAGGATAATACTCGGAGAGAGATTTGTGCTCTTGAAACCCGGACTTTCAACGTCGAGGGCAAGCGCATCAGAGACTTTCGCTCGTGTAGCCTCCCATACAAAGACAAAGAGCAAGGAGGCGCTGAGGTGATATACTAGTACCTGATATTAGTGACATGAAAATCTAGAGTTTGTCGCACCAGCATAAATCACGGAGAAGCGTAAGAGACCCCACCCTTTGTCTGACACTCTACTCATCTAGCTCTTGCTCCACAGGGGTCCAATACCAAATCACACCAGACCACTGTTCCACATCGTGACATATGTCCTTATCATTCTTCCCAGCACAAAGTTACACTCCACCATTCAAGCCTCATCTCGACCGTCCGGCGCTCCCCACGCCTCAGCCGTCAGAGCAAGAAAGTACAAATACCTGTGCGCCTTACACCAAATGTATCTTCCCCACGACCTAATCAACCATGACAAAACCAGGAAGACCGATCATTCATTCCCCATCTCCTTCGATCTTTATCGCCGTTGTGCTGACAGCACTAGGATGCACAGTGGACGCGGCTCGTGATTGTCGCGCGCACATGCAAGCCCATCCTGTCGCAATGTTGCTAGCTGCGAATTGACAGCTGAATTTTACTGCGCATCAATAATTCACCAAGACAAAACATCGTGAATTTCAACGCGGATGATTCGTCAACGTACAAGATACAATACAGGTCTCAATTGTCCATTTCTGTCAAGCAGCATGCTGGCGCAATGGAATATCACTCCTCAAAATCCACACGCCTTCCCCGTATCAATCAGCGACTGCTCCAAGCCGATCCACCCTCCTAATGCTTTCCCCCCGACCTCGTTCTCCATCACGTACGTTGCCAGCCCTCCCAGCGGCGCTGGGAGGTCCTCAGGGACTTGCGCTTTGGGGAAATTCTTGCGCAGGAGGGAGAAGATGAGATTCCACCCGTACGGCTCCGATGCTGCCAATATGCGTTGCCCGCCGAATTGGGGCTCTGTCAGCGCTTTAATGTGCAGCCGCCCGGTGTCGCGTACGTCGACGAACCATTCTGGACAAACGAGAAGTGAGGGGATTAGGAAAAGAGGATCATCTGGGGTATATCACATACGCGGGGGGTATCCATTCGTAAAAGCAGCCTGGTTCGTGAGTATCGCCGGAATCCATGCGTTTGTTGATTTTGGTCCACCGTACAGGACAGGCCCGAAATTGGCATCCGGAAGAATGGATACGACATCGAATTTGGGCTACGCACATTATCGTGTAGCCAATCAGCACATTGCTGCACAATCGTGAGGTTTTGAAGGAGCACGGACGACAACATACCTTGTTCTGCTCGGCCCATGCCCATACTGCGCGTTCAGAGAGAGTTTTGGTCGAGGCATAGCGGATGCCCGTCCATGCCACCCCCTCCTTGTCCATCTCCGGCGGCGGGTTCTGGAAGATCTGCACGACGGCGTCGTTCCACGTCTTGTCGGTCACGCGGTCCTGCATGAAGCCTGGGATGGGAAGATGCGTCGCGAACGCGCTCGACGTGATCACAAAGCGCTTTACGGACGGCTGCGCCGCTGAGACGCGGAGCAATGCGTGTGCCCAATCGATTGCCTCTTGTGGGGCCCCGTCGGTTGTTCCAGGAACGCCGCCGGGAACAACAACTTGGACTACGCCATCGGCTCCGTCAACCGCCGCGGCGAGCTGAGACTCACTGAGGAAGTCGTCGACGACAATGAAGGAGAGCTTGGAGACGTCCGCACCGTGCGAGACAAAGCCAGCGCGGACCTCCTCAGTGCTTGCGAGGGAGCGGACCGTGCCACGGACACGGTGACCGTCTTTGAGCGCAGCAAAGGCGATGTGGCTCGCGATGTAGCCGGTGACGCCAGTAACGACGATTAGCGAGTTTGCAGGGAGAGCAGGCATCCTGACTGAAAGCGCGGTAGGTAAAGTGCGAGAATTTTAGAGTGGGCCCCTTCTATTGCTTTAATATCTTTCATCGGACCCCCGAATGATCCTTACATACGCAACTTGGATGTGAAACAGATAGAGGCAGAGAAGGGACATCAGGCCGCTGCGGTATGCGAGTGGAAAAGTGCGTATGTAAGTATGTATATCAGCACCACAGGTACGAGAGCTTCGACGGAACTACCAAAAGAGGAGAGCTGATCGCCGTGATCTCCAAGTTGGGGATGTTTATCGACTCATCATAAGCACGGGAGTTTCGAATTGACCGACTTGCAAGTGCAACTGGCAACGGCTATCTCGCCTATCCGGAGGCAGGTCGGCGGATCGATTGACCTGCAAGCCCTATGTTATTGTACAGTACTACTAGAATGACCAGTAGTTTGGACGGCACGAAGGCACACGGCTCCTGTATGCAGGACTGTAGTAGACTCGCACGCCCGTCGGACTTAGAATGCACTCATCTGTTTTCGTCGAGCCATCTGGGAAAGGAAGATTGGACTGGAGCTCAAATACAGAGAGCTGCTTTCGCAGCGGTGTTCAAAAATCAGGTCGACTGGGAACGAGCCTAGGACTGCAGGTCAAGCCCAGCGAAATGTACAAAAGGATATACACAATATGTATCACACATACAATCATCAGATAATCCGACATGGTGCGTTATCTGAGCAGATAAGCTCAGGTTTGGGCCGGGTTGGGGTTTACTGGAGCCCGATCACCCGCCCGCTACAACAAACTTGCGTGCATTCACAGCTCAAACTTCCTACACGCATCCACTCTATTCATTCCTCAATATCCAATCGACTTTGCCGTGTCTACAATCGACTTTTCTAAGCTGGTCCACTCGCCCAATGCTTTTCTGCCGACCTCGTTCTCGATGGTGAATTTTGCTGGTTCTCCCTGAACACCAGGGATGTCCTCGGGAACCTGAACCTGTGGAAAATGTTTCCGAAAGATCGCAAACATTTCATTCCACCCGAAGGGCGCTGCAGTTGCCCATAAGCGTCTTCCACTGAGCTCGGGCTCCGTCAGCGCGAGCACATGCAACCGCGCGACATCCCTCACATCGACAAACCAATCTATGTGCATACGCGTGGTGAATCAATGCATACACACAGCAGACAGCACGAGCATATATACCTGGAGGATACCGCTGCGTGAAGGCAGCCTGGTTACTGAGTATGGCTGCGATCCATGCAGCCGTTGAGCGTGGCGCGCCCATCAAGACGGGCCCAAAGCACGCGTTTGGAAGAACGGTGGAGATCTCAAATGCAGGCTGTTCACGTAATAGCCGGCCTCACAGTAAACATACCAACACTGGGATGTATTTCGTGGCGGACGCTGACATACCTTGTTCTCAGCAACCCATGCCCATGCCGCGCGCTCAGACAGGGCCTTAGTTGCATTGTATCGGGTGGCCTCCCAGAGTTCATCCCCTTTGCCTCCCCCTGGAGGGTGCTGAAAGTACTCTATCGCGGAGTCGCACCATGTCTCGTCGGTCATGTGGTCCTCCATGAAGCCTGGAATAGGAAGATACGCCGCAGAAGAGCTCGACGTGAACACAATACGCTTCACGGATGACAGCCTTGCCGCCACCTGGAGAATTGCGCGCGCAGCATTTACAGCGTCCTGCGGAGCCTTGTCATCGATCGAGGGTACTCCACCGGCGAGTGCGACGTGAATGATGCCGTCCGCATCTTCAAGGGCGGCAGCCAGTTGTGCCTCGCTGGCGAGATCGTCGACAAGCGCGAACGTGAGCTTAGAAACGTCCACCCCATGTGCGGCATAAACATTGCGGACATCTTGACTGCGGGCAAGGGAGCGGACTGTGCCGCGCACGCGGTGTCCGGCTTGGAGGGCGACGATGCCAATGTGGCTGCCGATATAGCCGGTGATGCCGGTGATGACGACAAGCGAGTTGGGAGCGAGGACGGGCATGGAGCAGACTGAAGAGTAGAAATTGGTCGGAACCCTTGAGAAAGCTTCGAGGTCATCGTGACGCCGCCGCGGATTCCCAAAGCCTCTTGAGCACTCGTACCTTCGGCAACCCGCGCTTGCGGAAACCGTTTACGGAGGATACCAAGCACCTGCTTTCAATTACTAGACGGCGCCGCGGCGGCCTAGACACACTGGCCACCTAGCTCTAATTCTGCTACAAGAATATGCTGGTCTCATGTCCAGACGTGTCTCGAAGACGTGTCTGGGGTACTAGCTTAGCAGAGACTCCTCTTCCAGATGCGCCCCCATGTAACGGGTGAGATTGAATCACCCGATTGCATTCCATTTTTGGGTGGCTACGCCTAGCAACTTCCGACTTATTGGGTGCCTCTGGAAGACCCCAGACGCGTCTTCGAGACATGTCTGGGTAAGTACGAGACCAGGATATGCAGCCGCGCGGTGTCGCACACGTCGATGGACGCACCCAGTCAGCGAGTGCCCACAGCAGGGACTGCGAGGATATGTACGTAGGCCCCAAACGTGATCTAGTGTGATCAAAATTGCTGTCGCTGATCCGTGCACTCGTTGTACACTCACCAAACAGGACGGGTACGAAATTCACATTCGGTAGGAGGGTGGTCGTGTCAGAGGCAGGCTATATGCAGAAGGCTTCAGCAGACTCAGGACACATATACTCGCAGGGGAGAATGAAATTGTACCTTGTCTTCATCACACTATATCAGATGAGAATCCAGAGTCCCCCCTAAGTTCTTGTCCGTGAGATCTGCGATAGATGAAGCTAACTTCAACCCTTGCAGTCGACATTTATGGATTGTGAACGATTGCCAGTGTACTTGTCGGAAGATTTTCCATCAACCATTTTCGTCAGCATTGTCGCTGCCTCAGCGCCAGGTGTATGTGTCAGTTTCATACAACAATCACTGGTACGTACCATCAAGTCCGCGTTACATAAATGACCATTGGTTCATTAATGCCCTTGTTGCATGCAGGCCATACAGCATCGAATACATAACAATGTATTCGAATGTATAGTAATGATATATACTATTGGGATAGTAGTACATGAGGCAATGTAATATCCGCACTTATTTACCAGACACCCTGCTTGTGTCCTGGTACATAGCCCATTCTAGTAGCTACCCTTCCACCTTGTCAACATTAGTTTCTCGGTTCCCCATACCCATCTGTTTGGGATGCTTCTGTGCAGCTGGTTTTGGATGCGCCCCACCCTCCATATCCTTCTTTTTTGGCTCACTGGCCACCCTCAGGTCCGAAAACGCGCCATCGTATAGCCGGTTTTGGCTGTGCCCCGCCCCCCAGATGTCTTTCTTGGTTTGCACCCACCTCTCGCTGTCGTGCGGCTGGTTTTGGATGCGCCCCGCCCTCCATATCCTTCTTTTTTTGGATCACTGCCCGCCCTCAGGTCTGAAAACGCGCCATCGTATAGCCAGTCTCGGCTGCGCCCTGCCCTCCAAATGTCCTCCTCGATTCGCGCCTGCCTCTTGCTATTGTGCAGCTGGTTTTGGCTGTGCCCTGCCTTCCATATTTTTTTTCCAGCTCACTGCCCACCCTCAGGTCCAAAAATGTGCCACTGTATGGCTGAATTTGGCTGTGCCTTACACTCCAGAGTTCTGTTTCCTGGCTTACTGCCTGTCCCCCCCACACTTACTTTTCAGTTTCCTTGTATTCTGCCTTTTGAATCTGCTGGCCCTTTTTGACATTGTTTTCTGGAGATTAATATTACAGTCTTGGGGGGGTTTCTTTTGCTCTTGCCAATCCTTATTTGACCCTGCATGATCTAACTTACTTTTCACTACTTCATTGATGTGTACCCTTTTCTTATTTTACTGATGTGTCACTCCTCCATCTGTTACAATGTTATGAAGAGGGTTTTTTTCTTTTTGTCTTGCTCATACATGTTGAGGGACCTAACGACTGAGGATCAGGAGTTTGACTTATGACTTATTACTGATACTTATATGTGTAAGGCTGACACATTATACTGAGACTAGACTAGTAGACTGAGCCGCTATAACTGATAGCAGTTTGAGAGTGTATACTGGTTGAAGCTAGACTTCAGACTAAGACTTGAATAGACAACTGAGTCTATTACTGAGGATGTCCCCATGAAGCTACATAGAGAACAAGAGGACAAAACTGAAGTTGTTACAGCGTCAGAGGGGTTTTTTTTTCTTTTCCTAACTATTCATTGTTGACCCTGTACTATACAACTGATCCCATCACTTGATGTGTTTCACCTACATCACTGTTTCATATCTATCACGTTTCACTTATATCACGTCTCAGCTACATCACGTTTCATCTCTATCATGTTTCACCCTCATCACTGATACAACCCAGTGAAACAGTTTCATGTACATCACTGATCCAACTCAGTGTTTTATACTTATTAAACTCTATTCATGTAGCACTATTTAAGTAGCACTGCATGTGCTACTATACTTTAGTTTTGTCCTCTTGTTCTCTACGTACCTTCATAGGGATAGTTCCAGGTAATAGACTCAGTTGTCTATTCAAGTCTTAGTCTGAAGCTTTGCTTCAATCAGTATACACTCTCAAACCACTGCCAGTTGCAGTGGCTCAGTCTACAAGTCTAGCTCTAGCATAACATGTCTGTCTTACATGTAGCAGTATTTTTGTCAGTAGTAGTCTTAAGTGGAACTCCTGATCCTCAGTCGCTAGGTCCCTTAACATTAGGACAACAAAACTCTCCTAGGACCACTAGTTCCTAGTTGCAGCAAGCCACAGTGGCTACAGCAGTAGGACAACCACCAATAACCAGGTCCCAGGCAAAGAATCTCCTATGCTTCAATAAGATCCATGCTTACAATAAGAATGAAAGAACCAATCAGTGGTTTAACAGATCCTCCTACCAGTATTGTGCCAATTCATTGTGTCCAAATAGGAGTAGAGATAAAACTATCCCAAAGACTACACCAATCCTAACACCTATTGGAAGTAAAGACGATCGTCATTCAGTAGTACCCCTATTAGCAGAGAAGTCCTCTCCTGTACCATCATATCTGACCCCTACTGCAGCATCATCCAGCAGAAGTGTAATAGCTCCTACACCCTATTGTCACTGTCACAGAATTTCATAGCGTCTATCTTATCTTTAGCGTCTAGATGATCTACATCTTATCTGATTGGATATCTACCTAGATAAGGATAGCATCATGCATGGTGATACTGTTACTAGTCAGGTGTCTAGCTTATCCGAAGCATGGCAAATGGGCTATCATACGTTCACACAAGATTTTCCCCATTTGTACTAGAGACACACACGGTCGTTCAGGTGATCATCACATGTGAAACTACTGACCAAGCACATGGTGATGGCTCACATGCTAGGTATTCTTAGAT